TAAAGTCAGCATTAGTTGCCCTTTGCTATTATGAAAAAGTAAACAAATCACTAAAAAAAGAGAATAAGGAAGATAATGAAATGTATTGTCATCACAGAAGTAAAATGTGTTCACTTTTATCAGAAAATGATATAGATGACCATATATCTCAGTCAGCTTCAGAAATAGATAAAGATATTGAGGAAATGTTAAGACGAGGATCAAATTGGCGATTAGTTTGAATAGAAAAATTATATATTGAAGCTTATACATATCGACGAGCTATTAGTGGATCATATATCTTGACTCCAAAGAAGCTTGCCAATACTAAATGCACTATTAATTCAGATAACTCTCAAACAGGTGATGACATGTGTTTAAAATATGCTTTAGATGCATACTTTGCAAGCAATGGAGGTGAAAATAAAAATTTACAACATTTTTCTGTTCTTCAACCATATCTGGATATAGTCAATTTAGATAGAGTTCCTATGCCAACTCCAATTTGCTCACATATTTTTAATAAAATTGAGGAGATGAACCCAGATATTTCTATTAATATCTGGGAATGGAAAGAAGAAACAGCTACTTCTAAACCTGTAATAGCAAGCAAAAATTATAATAGACAACATATTATACATCTAATGGCTCTTACAGATATTACCAAATCCAAAGATAATAAGTATGGGCAAAAGAATCACTTTCTTTGGATCAAAAACCATAAAGGATTAGTATACAAAGATACAAAGTATCATAGCAAAAAGCATCTATGTAACTGATGCTTTCAAAGCTTTCATTCAGAAAAATCTTTAGCCTATCATCAAAAGCACTGTTTTGGATTAGAAGAAGCTACCCAAAGAGTTGAATTACCTACCAAAGGTGTTAATGACTTTGAGAAGTTTAAGAACTATGAACGAATGATCAATGCTCCATGTGTTATTATAGCTGACTTTGAGGCAGATAATAAGAAATGCGATGAGAAATATGGAGGGCAAATGCGAAAGCTTGCTGAACAAAAAGCCAATAGCTTTTGCTACTTGGTTTACTGGATCGATACTGAAAAGATATGGGGCCCATTTCTATATAGAGGAGAAAATGTTACTTAGGAATTTGTTAAAAGAATTGATAAGGAATTAGTTCAAATTAATAGGGTTTTAGCTATAAAGCATGACCGAATTGAGACTGAAGAAGACAAGAAAAAATTTGCTAAAACAAATACCTGCTGAATATGTAAAGATAAATTCGATACAGATAATAAAGATAAGGTTTGGGACCATTGTCATATAACAGATAAGTTTCGAGGACCTGCTCACAATGCTTGCAATCTCAAACTTCAGATTGAACTATGGAAAACTTCTATTCCAGTTGTCTTTTATAATTTTCGGGGCTATGACTCTCATTTAGTTTGTGAATCTGTTGGAAAATCTGTTAATGCTCATCAGATAAAAGTTATAGCTGAAACATTTGAGCGTTATAAATCTATGAAGGTAGGTCAACTTAAAT